ACTTTTTATATATAAAAAGATATATTTGAAATTTAAATCATATTTTCAAATATAAAAATAATACTAAAAAGGTAAATAGGAAAGCGAAAGGGTGAAGACAGAGGGCCTACGATAAAGCTGCCCAGTCTTGTCCTATCGTGTTGCCATACCTACGACGATGGTATTTTCTAATAATTAGTGTTGCCTAAATATTTGATTTTTTTTTCCCTCTTTTTGTTAGGTAGGTTATATGTGCAAAAAGGAGTAGTTATTATTTATGGACATCCGAAGAATATGTTAGTAGCATATCAAACTCATAATCGATTTATGTATTAATAATGTATGATAAATTATAAATTTAAGTAGCGAATATATGCATAGATCGAAATGTCAAAGATGTCCTTAAGAATATGTGAAAAAAAAATGTATTTTGATCAGTATTCTAAAAAATCTGTCTATACTTCACTAGATACGTTTAGGCTCGGAGTTTAGAGAAAACTTCTTGTCTTGTGTCTAGGCATGAAAATAAACATTTAATGCTACATTGACACTTAAGCTATACACCTTTTTTTTTTACTAAGTGATTTTTTTTTTAATTTTGAAATTCAACTCAACAAAATGCTCAATTCGAAACAATAAAAGAAAAAAAGATTAATAGCAGAAAACCTTTTAAAAACGTTTCTATTTGCGATATACCCCATTACTATTGGAAATCGCATAAAACCCCTCTATTTAAAACATTTTGTGTGAAAAATCTGCATACCGTCAACATCGTCATATTTGCTGTTGAACTAAAAAGTGCCAAAATTAAAAAGGAAAAAAATTGTAATTTCAGTACCCAAACTTTTACTTTTTTTATAAATTAAATCCAAATGTTTAATATGTGACAACCACAATCTCAATTTTTTAAAATTTTATTTTTCACCCTACTCCATTTTACCCCCCACTTTATCTTATTCCCCCAAAATAATTTTTTTTTAATTTTTCACATAAAAATCAATTGATTTAAAATAATTAAATCAAGGATTTAAAAAAAGATACAAAATAAAAAATAAAATTTCTTCATCTTCTTCCCGCCCCACCCCCCAACCCCCATGCGCCCCATCGCCATCACACCAAACCAAAACTCAGAAAAACCCAACTTTTAAATGTACCAACTTTTCCATATACATCTTAAACTATAACTGACAAGGAGGTGCGGATGGAGACAGAGGTGCTGGCGACGGAGGTGTCAATGCGGTAACTGGAACGAGAACAGGAGGCGGACCGCTGGTTGTAAGTTCAAAAAACAAATTTGGGTATTTTAGAAACAGACTTCGTGGGGAATTTAATGAGGGTTTTTCCTTTTCCCATTTTGATGATTTTCTTTGAATTCTTGAAGATGTTGGATTAAGATTTGCAACTGGTTCTTGGGGATGAGGGTGGAAAGAAGTAGAAGAAATTTTATTTTTTTTATTTTAAATCTTTTTTGTTTTTGTTTTTGATTTAATTATTTTAAATTAATTGATTATTATGTGAAAAATTTTTAAAAAAATGGGGAAAGAAGATGAAGTGGGGTAGAATGGAGTAGGGTGAAAAATAAAGTTTTAAATATTTGAAATTGTGGGTAATACATGTAAAACACTTGGATTTAATTTGTAAAAAAGTAAAAGTTTAGATACTGAAATTGTAATTTTTTCATTTTTAATTTTGGCACTTTTTTACTGTTTTTAAGCGCAAATATGGTGATGGTAGGGGGTTTTTCTCGCAAAAGGTTTCAAACAGGGGGTTATTTTCGATTTCCAATAAATATGAGGTATATCGCAACTGGAAACGTTTCTAAGTGCGATATCTGCCGTTCATTCAAGAAAAAAAAAGATAATCAGAAACCGATCCTTATTTCACCATAATCATTAGAAAAAGGCCTTTTTAGAGTAACTACAGGAAGTAACCCTTGGGTAGTCGAAGCCACAAATCACCTTGCGCGTCTGGATGTGACACGTGTCGATTTTTGTTCTTGTTCTCCACCCTGCAATTTGTATGTGAAAACAAAGATAGCAATTGAGGGGACTGCATCTACTTTCTCTCTCTAACCAGAAATGGCCGTGGCTCAAATTTCCAATTCCCTCTGCTATTACACTTCCATTCGAGGTAATTCTATTTCTTCCCCATTTTATAATAGGTGGTACTATTTTAGTATTTTTCACGCTTCAGGTACGACTGTAAGTGTAACTGCCACTGATTACACATGTGTGTATACAGATGTATTCGTGCCAACTCCGGCAAGGGTAAGTTCAACAGCTGGTTTATCCCGCAAATTTGGAACGGCCTTCGCCACCGGTTCTTCCATCTGTAAGCCCTTTTGAGTTTCAATGATTTTGAAGATTTTCACTTTTTATTCTACTTGGTTGCACTTGGAAATTGGAATGAACTACGGTATTTGGACAGGCTCTAGTGAACAGATTTTACTGAGAATTGATTCAATTTAGTTAAGGATTCAGCAGAGATGGTAATTGAGTAGAATCTTTGTAAATTGAAGACGAAGTGCTTTGAAACCAGTAACTAGTATAAAATACTGCGGTGGGCTTACTGTAGTTGAAACAGAAAATAGTAACCCAAGCCTTCTTTTTGCATATACGAAAATAATGGTTAAAATTGGTTTCAGTTCTCAAGTGCCCGGGTCGATAATGGGATTGATAGCTACTTCAAAGAACCAGAGTTTTTGCTGTCCATTTGATTTGATTTTCCACTAACTATTTCAACTCCCAATGAGTAATGAGAGAGGAGGAGGAAGGCCCATGGCCAACCCTGCCTGTCTCTCCCTCTCCTTGAATTGTTCATGTGCTTTCGGTTTCTTAAGTTAAGTTAACACTATACCTGTGCATTCTTAGGTTTGTATTTGCTCGACTTTCATTTATGGTTGTAAGGTTGGTTGATTTGAATGAGAATTTAATGGGGTAGTAGCTAATGCTCCTTATCATTTCCAGTGATTCAGAGACCTCGCCAAAAAAACCCTGCAACCAAAGCAACATCAGTTTCCATAAGATGCGAGCAGAGCACTAAGGACAGCAACAGTTTGGATGTATGGCTTGGGCGACTGGCAATGGTTGGCTTTGCAACTGCAATTAGTATTGAAATAGCAACAGGCAAAGGACTTCTAGAGGTATGCGTGCCTATGAATGTTTATATTGATTCTAGTTTGTATGTTAAGTTACTTCTTTCAATTCTGCTGATTCACTTGTTTCTCGTAAATCATAAACACAAACTCAAACTCAAACAGAGAATAAATATAACCATAGTTTATATTTTCTCAGCTATTTACGGCATTTTATAGATATGTGCGTTGTGATGCATGTAATTCAGCGTGTTTTGCTATATACTTGTGATGCCCCGGTTACTTTGTCTTCAACCTTTGGATTGGGAGTCATGATATTTCTATTGGTTCCACTTCAACTTCAGGATTCCAACGCTTAAATGTAGAACATATAGAACGTAGATAAGGGTATTCAGAAGTGTCTAGAGGATATGGAGGAAAAGAAGATGGGAGTCATTTCTCCCTCTCCAACTCTAAATAACCTTATTTAGGAGGTTCTTTTCAAAGGAAGCTCTTTTCTCTTGTTGTTTGAGATACTTTGTGAATCTTCAGGATTTGCAGCTGACGCCCTTAGCGCGTGGGCAGAAAAATGTTGAATTGCCTCCTCAAAAAGTTTAAGCTGTCTCGGAAGGGATACATTTATTTGAATTTAGTCTTCAAGCGTGTCACCCCATGTACAACTTGGATTCTTTTTTCGTTGAAGGCATTAATACATGTACAACTTTTATAAATGGGTAAATATAAGAGATAAAATGCTGAACCAACTCTTCTAAAAGTTTAAGTTGTTAGAGATGAAACATATATTTTGTGAAATTTAGTCCTTTTAACAGAAATTTCCTTCTAACTTTGTCAACTATTCCAGCTTTACATATTCAAAATATCAAATAACATCTTTTCTGTACTGACAATCATGTTTCCAGAACTGAAAGTTGAATCATTGAAGTCTAGCCGAAGTTATAGCTGTTAAATTCTTCTCTGTCTTTGTTCCTTTTCTTTTTGTCGCCCGTTCTGTGTTGGTACATTTTTTCACTGTTAGCTTTTTCATTGAGGTTTTTTTCTTAATCTTGCAGAATTTTGGGCTCACGTCCCCCTTGCCTACTGTGGCCTTGGCTGTTACAGCTCTGGTGGGAGTTTTGACAGCAATCTTCATCTTCCAATCTGCATCCAAAAATTGATTAGATTTATTTCTTGCTGTTCAGTGCCCGTAAACCTTGTATTTCTCAAAAATGTTGTCTACTATATTGTTATCTTTTCTTGTAGTTGATCTACTGCCAACAAAAGTGATTATTTTGGAAAAAGTACATGCATCACTGATTCACTATTCTTGTTCCTTCTGTATAATTTTCAGTACACAATGAAAAAGTTGTATAAAATAATGTTAGTATAACCAGATAAATAATTATGTTAGTATAACAAGATAAAACTCTTTTTTAAGTCCGATGAGTAGTGAAACTTGAATAATTAATTAGTTATTTGTAGTGTTGTGCAGTAGCTGTTTGTACTCTATCTACTATACTTTACTCCTTTCCAAACTCCGACAGTCGATCTCTTCTTTCACTCTAAAAATTACTAGCTTGCGAAACTTACGGCCATGGCACATTTTCGTTCTTTCTGTTAATATGTACTGTGTTGTGCACAATCTCCTCCCCCTTGCAGCCTCCGATGCAGCATATCCTCCTGCCTATGTAATTGATTCCGCTGAGGAAGATCTTGTCGATACCCTTGAAGTGCATGGAGGCGGTCATATCATTGACATCACCCACCGTTATCATCCAGACATGCCTTCGTGGGAATCTGATGAGGGTACCGGCCAATTCTTGTTGCTTCCGAAGAGCATGAAGAATGGGTCTCTGGGCTTCTGGCAAATAATTCCGAGATGAAGCTCTCAACTCACACTGGAACTCACGTTGATGCACCTTGGTCGTATCTTATCGAGAAGAAAGTTTTCTTCTTGTTCTCAGAAGTTGGCCCCTTAATTGCTTCCTTATTATGCATGTCTTCACATGTAACTCTAGTTTGGTCGCTGATGAATTCCTTGTGATGGACAATGATGCTGTGCTTTCACGTGTGAGGCACTCATACCCTACCTCCAGCGATGTACAGCAGCACCGGTAGGGCATGTTTGGTATGCAAGTGGACATAATTGGATAGTATATGAATAAGATAATGAAGTTCGTAGATGAAGAAGATATTTGATTTTTTTTCCCCGATTGATACATATTTGTCACATTTCAAGCCATCAATCGCTGATTGAAAGTGATTGACAGTGCTATATGAAATTACAAATCTTTACTTGCAAAATGTTTTCCATGGCGATTATACAATACTGATGAAGTAAAGGTTTCTCGTTGTAAGTTTCTTCATGTATAATACCGGTATTGTTGAAATATTTCTTGAAACCATCCTTGTTGAGGGCCTGAAACTCAGCCAGGGATATATTCCGTGCACTGCTTACCTCTGAGGTTGCTTGGGGCCGAGGGATCACCCATCAGATGCATCCTTATTAAGTGATGTATCCCATTCTTGTTATTGTAAGGGATATACAAGTATAGTTTTACTTACATGTACTTATTTCTTCTTACTTTCAGAATTTTTAGTAAAAAGTTGCTTACATGTAACTTTTTATTTTCAAACTATTTAGATAAGTTACTTTTTTTCATATACTTTTAAGAGCATGTTGGGTTAAGCTTCAAAAAAGTTGAAGCTACTTTTAAGTAATTTTGGTTTCCAATATGTTTGTGATAGAGCCAGACTCTTAAAATAGCTTAATGTGGATTATTTGACAGAAATTCTACTTAATGTTGTGTATGTATTGTTTTTCTAGGTAAAAATCCCATTTTGGAGATGGATTTAGCAAAAGAAAGAGTGTGGGAACTTTATTAAGAAAAATGATGGATTGCACGGCGCTAAAAGTGCAAGGACTTTATTGGAAGAGCTTTGGAAGTTGATTAAATTTTTGAACATGACCAAAAATGGAGGACTAAAGTGGACTAAATTAGAGTTTGATTGAAAGAGCGTTCATGAAGTCTTGATCTAGTTGCTCTAGACCTTAAATTTGAGCAAACTCCCCACCGCAACCTACATGAACAAAGGGAAGTGAGAAATCAACAACACAACTCAACGAATGACAACAAAACTGCATGCATAACCCAAAAGATCCAATCACTAGTGGATCCACTTCTGGTCAATCCTTGCACTACCATGGTGTTGCAGTCAAAATTAATAAGAAATACACGCTGGATGGGGATTTGATGATGTCACCATTTGTTGAGAATCGGTCCAGTATCATACACCCTTCATGCGGGTGCAATAATTTCCAACTGAGGTTCGGATATCATCGATTTATTCTCAAACAACATAACTTCGATAGCCGGACCAATGAAACTTCTCAAAATACCAGTGCCAAATTGCTTAAGATGAGACTCTTTCTTCATACTCTGAAAGATAAGCTTGAGAGTGACTCGAAACATTACCGAGTAAGTATTACCACTTGAAGCATGTCCATTTTCCACCAAATTGATTTAGAAAACATTAAGGGTCCGTTTGATTCTAAGAATAGAATTTGAGTGGAAAGAAAATGAATTATATGGAATTGAATTGCCTAGAACTTGTTTTACTGAGAATTGTCAATTAATTGTGTTTGATTGGTATAATTTTCCACCTAAAAAATATGGAAATTTTGGATCTTTTTGTGTTCGTTCGACTTTATTTTCCATGGAAATTATCCATTAAAGGGATACAATTTGTTACAATGGGGGATATAATTTGTTTCCATTGCCAAAAATAATAATAATAAAAAAGCTGCATAGAAAATCAATTCTCACCAAAGTGGTGGGAATTAATTTACACCAAAAAGCAAGAAAATGTGGCAAACCAAGAAAATGTGGAAAACCAATTACCTGAAAAATGTTTCCTATCAAACACTCTCAAAAGTTTTCCATTTTCCATGGAAAACTTGCCCTATCAACTTTGGGCTCAAAACTCAGTTGGATGCTGTTATGATATTAACTTTGAATCTATAAGAAAGA